CAAAAAACAAAATTAAAAATATAAAAAATGTGTTTTTGAGAAGAAAGAAGAGAAGGTGATAGAACAAGACCAGTACCGATTCAAGGAACAACTGGAGCACAATCGCAACCCAGGAAAATCTGAAGTTTGGTGGGATAATAGTAGAAAGTTATACGAAGATACAAAAAAAATCAGAACGTAATTTGGTATTACGGTTTGAAAGATATGACCAATTTTCCAAGACGGACGAAGATGGGTACGAAGCTAGCCAATGTCAAACTTTATCTCAGGACGAACCACAAGAAGCCAGGAGATAATCTTCATACCATTAGAAAGATCTCATTCTCAAGATTACAGGACATCTTTCAGATCTCAATTCCGTGATGTGTAGAAAGAGAAAACGAAGGAAGAAAGACCGGTGAAACGCATGAACAAGGACAAAACACCGAACGAGTACGCCGACCGGTATCAGTGTCCGGTATCAGATCCTTAGCCCGCGTCCCGATCAGCTCCCAGTACCGGTCACAACACAGGTCAAGAATCACGACCAGTGTTTGATCGATTGTGCCTCGAGCCATATTTTTCGTTCCACGTCCCGACCTCCAAAACATCGGTCATGTACGCGGACCGGTGTTACGACCGGTGTTACCTCTCAACCCGCGTCACGATGCAGGTACGTCCCGCGTCCCTAGCTGCATGACCATTCCCACCCGAACCCACGGACCAGCTGGCTCGACCATGGACCCCACCACCGAGCCGACCACCTAACCATAGGTCCCAAAAAGGTAAACTTTTTATTTTTCTCTTTTAATTCATTCAAAATTCAATTTTAAATTATAACTAAAATCTTTTATAAACCAAAAATATTTTTAATTTGTAGATTTTCATGAATTTATATTTTAAATTTATATGCTTAATAAAAATTATTATTACGAAGCTTATTTGATTCATGAACTTTTGCATTAGAATTTCAGAATTTTGGTTAGATTAATTTGATTTTGAATGATTCACACATCTTTACATATCCATTCATTGATTTCACTTAGATTCGCAATTTTTAACACTTTGGATTCATTATTGGATTTATTTTGTTTATTATATGCTATTCTACTAATCCTTGGACTTAGAAATCGATACATATGTATTGAGGACTTAGTTCCAAGAGACATTTAACAAGTGATTTCAAATGTTTTCCAAGGATATGTTGCTCTTTTAACATGACTTTTTTAAAGATTTTTTGTTGTGATGTACACACTTCCAATCGTTTTATGCATGCTCTGCACCATTAAAAGAGATGTGTGAGTAAAGCTGGGAAATTGGAGACACCTAGCCTGATTATGGTTCACAAGGGATAGAATAAGCTCAGACTCGAAGACGAACTCAGTTTGTTCGAGCCAGTTACCAGATTTTCCAATTATAGCTCACAAACGGACGAAGACAAGCATTTTTATGGGACATCTACTGATCCACTCGAGAAAACGCCCTTGAACTTCACCAACTAATCTAAAATATCATGTTTTCTGATGGATTTTCAATATGGCTAGAGCAAATCTCTACTGTTTTGCAGATGGCTCGAAACACACCTTACCGGCGAGTCAAATCGCCCCATTCAAGGACCATACGCAAAATCGTTCGAGCAAAAGTGTTGAAACTTAACCAGGAGCTTGAAAAGACCCTATAACTCGGTGAATTTTCAATATGGTACGGGGAAAGTATCATGGTTTGAGAGATAGCCCATGAGCCTCTTCCGGTCACCAAAATCACTATACCATGGGCCAATCTAGAAACAATGTGGAACCAGCTGTTGAAGTCTTGAGAAGAAATGATTCTAAGGACCTAAGGAACCTTTTAGGAGTGTTACTTTACCCCTGGAGGCAGCCGAGTTCATAGATGCTTCAAACCAACCGATTTCGGGATATTTATCAAACTTCAAGACTTATGTCTAAACTGGTAACTTTGTTCTATTCTCTATCTTTTCAAATCCCAATTACTA